CCTGTCTGCATGTCGACTTTAGTCGCCTACTGCGGCCTGACTGCATGTCGACTTCAGTCGCTTACTGCTGCCTGTCTGCATGTCGACTTTTTTAGCCTACGGCGGCCTGTCTGCATGTCGACTTTAGTCGCCTACTGCGGCCTGCCTGCATGTCGACTTCAGTCGCCTACTGCGGCCTGTCTGCATGTCGACCTTAGTCGCCTACGGCGGCCTGACTGCATGTCGACTTTAGTCGCCTACTGCGGCCTGACTGCATGTCGACTTTAGTCGCTTACTGCGGCCTGTCTGCATGTCGACTTTAGTCGCCTACGGCGCCGAAAGGGTAAATAACATCGATATGTTTGCTTCATATACGTTTTTGAAAATATTTCGAATTAAATCAATATTGAAAACTAAGATATTTATTGACTTCCGGTGGAGTATATCTCCCCATGTTTATTTCTTTTAATTCCTGACATTTGAAAAAAAACTACATTACACAATTTAAGAAAACACATTTCACTGATATACACCTCTTTGCAAGCGCAAACTAGACCTTAACCTAGTGTTCATCACTACTAATTCATGTGTGGGTTTTTGTTTTAATTTACACAATACGCCCAGGAACATGATATTATGTCTGATAATGTAAGTATTACGTAGTAACAATAATACTTATATTTTCACAGCGTGTCTTGATTATAAACAGCTTATTTGAAACAGGCTCTGTCTACTAATGAGACCAATTTGTTTTAAAAAGTAATAGCATGTGTGCGTAGAAACAAGAGGTCTCACAGGGAACTTGGCGCCCACCATTTCTTGATCTTTATATGCTCTTTGAAATTTGAATCTTTTCCCTTCTTTTCTCTTCTCTTTTTAAAGAAATCTTAACATTCCGCTGTAGAAATGAGGATGGAAATCTTTACCACATCCAAATGGTCGCCTGGAAGTCACTTTAGTTTTCTGATCAGTCTCAAAATCAAGTAGAGACCAAAGGGTACATACATATGAAATATGAGAGAGATCCTTTGAGTGTTTATAAGAAAAAGGGATAACAATCTTTACTAGGTAAAATCCAAGTTGGCTGTCTGTCGGCCATTTTTCTGATCAGCTCCAAAATCAAAAAAGTACAACAAGGGATAACGAGAAAACTATACATGGAAATTTAAGAAATATCTATGCAGTATACGTCGAGAAGTAGCAATAATAAACTTTCAAAATCAATATCGAAGATGCGACTATTGCACATTTTATTTTTCTGATCAGTGCCAAAATCAAACAGGCACAACTAGGAATCAAGGGAAAAATACACATGGAATTTCAGAAAGACCCTTCCAGTATTTCTCAAGATATAACAAACTTGCAAAGTCGAAATCCAAGATGACCGTAAGAAGGCCATTTCGTTTTTCTGATCTTTCTTAGCATTAAAAGGGGCAAAAGATCATCAACAACGACATTGCATATGTCTGTTCGACAGGTCCTCCATGTTCGGCAGTGGTGGAAAATCACAAAGAATAAAATCATGTGAACATAATTGTTATCCAAACTCCAAGTCAAAACAATCCAGGGCAAAATATAAATAGACGGGAGATGTAAACAGGAACTCCTGAAAAAGTTCAAGGATATTAAGACCAAGTTTTCCGGAAGAGTATGCGTCTTCTGCTTGATCCATGGCAACCGCCACGTAAATCTTGGTCAAATATCGCGTTCTCAAACAGGCATTGTCTTTGTCTAAATGATGGTTTTGTTCTTACAGCATTTAATGCTCTCTCAACAGCCAGTGTCGTATGAGAATTAAGAGGGAAAACAAGTCAGCAAAACGAAGACAGAAAAATGAGCAAGAAAGAAAATAAATGAAACAAACCTGACCCAAAGTTTTGCAATAGGGGCATCAGATGTTTTTTTGGTATATTTGGTATCCCATTGGTACAAGACATGAATAATTGCTGTGTTGACTTTAGTCGCCACCTACAAGCTGGCAGTAAAATACATCAAACCATATTAATGTGATTTAAAAAAAGAAAGCGGAGAAACAATGCCGACCTGCAGTAGATGTCCCATAAATAAACGTCTTTCACGAAAAGCAGCGAGGTATTGAAGGGAAGGAAAACGTTCAAATAAGCAAACACTGTACGAGGGAACTGCAGACTTCGCGGCAGGTACTGACGTGTCGATTGTAACCAGAGCTATGCACTTGGTTATTCGTCTGAATGGAACGTGCTTAGAAGTCAGAGTAAAGACTCAATGTTAGGTAGTGAAAGTGATTGAACAGCAACAGAGAGAGAGTATGATGAAACCTACAACACGTGCTATACGGGGTCTGAGGAAGATGTAGTGGTAGAAAAAGATATAGGAAGAATGCGTGCATAGTTTATTGACACAAGACTACCTCATACATTTCCGTTGCGATAGTTAGACTGGGAAGTCCAAGAATCAGAAGGAAGGATTTTTCCAAGAAGGGAGTTCCGAAAAAAAAAATAGAGATATCAAGAAAATGGGTAAAGGTAAGTCGTGTCGGACTTCAACAGACATTGATCTCAACAGGGAGAGCTATCTGTAGGTTATGTAAAATAAGGAAAAATGATATCAACCAACTGGCTCTGTGTCCTGGTGTTGGCGCCCAGCTGAGAAACAGGCGAAGTTGATACTAGAGACAAAGCGACTGAAGCCGAGATTTTGAACCATTAATCGGCCGCAAAACTTTCTTTTAGTTTCTAACAGATATGTCATCATCATTTCTTTTTCCGTCAGACAAATTTTCTGTCTGGCTGTGCTCTGTTTATTAGAGAAATAAATGTACAGAAATGTGGGGGTCACGACGGGGAAACTATCTGAGCTAAGAGACACATTCTGAATATTAGCGTAGAATGTAGCAAACAACATTCGGATAAGAGGTCCCAATATGAATATATCCAAGAGTGTCCTCATCATGTTTGCTCAGGAAACTTCATGAGGAAGCGAGGGGACTCCAACAACAATAGGGCAATAAGTTGTTTTATAGATCAAAGTATCATAGATTCGAGACTGGGTTTTGTTACTCTATTTGGCCAGGTTAAATTGTAGTAGCAGTATAAAATTGGCTTCAGTTTTGCATTATCACAAGGGGGCTTTCACGAAAGTACTGCAGCCTCCAAAAAACACGCGTACTCACAGGGAGGCCGTCAATCATTGAAAAATCTAATAATATGACGCAAAACAATACCATTCCAAACCCAACTGTGCGATAAGAGTTTGATATATGATATTTACACTGTGATTACTACAACTTGTCTGTAGATGAAACATCCTTATCACTGAAGAATTCAGCAATGTTATCGCGCTATATCATCATCATGATAACATGTTGTCAGGTATCGTCTTTGCGTAAACAGAAGCGTTCAGTGTCAAGTCAATATTTGGAACTAAAAATGCAGAAGTGATATCGACTACGACAGATATCAACTTGTCGGCTCTGATTGGCCAACAAACTGGCCAATCAGCCCGAGCACTGATATGTACAACGAACATTCATAACACCGGCAAAATGTATAGAGTATCACAACATGCGCATGTGTACAAATGATACCGTTAGTAGCGGAGGTCAACGCCTCGGTGACCATATGACATACTTGTTGATAGGGATCGTGTTGACAAAATGTGTAATACAGTAAAATAGGTTATTTCAGGTACACATGTCTCGGTACACAATACAGGTAAAAACATCACTCAAATGTCAATAGTATGAAGAGATGATTGTAAATGGGAAGGAGATGTTTTAGTTTGTTTGGTTGTTTTTTGTTTTGTTTTTCCCCATGTTTTTGTTTAGTATTTTTTGGAGGAAGGGGTGGGACAGAGATAGACTGAGAGACAGAAGTTACAACAAGTTTGATTGTAAAGACCAGTATATCATCGTTTTGATCTATTTAGTGCCACAGACGTTTTATATATGGCGAATGCTGATGTCTGGTGTAATACAGCCTGAGGGGAAGGCTAACTCCTCAAACACACAGTGATATATGTACGTCCGGATGTCAGCAGGAAGCGGTCACCGCTCCGGCATTAATACAAGGACAGCTATATATACATACATGTATCTCCTTCACCTGTATGTACCGAAAGTATAGTCCCTACGCGACAACTTACCACGGAACTGTGTTCTGTACTCGATAATTATCACGATCTCTACATTAACATGTAACGGCCTATATAATGTAGAAATAATCCGATGTTTTGTAAATGATTCTCGACCGGAAGTAGAATCTATACAATAAGGGGGCATCTGTTGTTTTACATATTCATTTCTCAAATTAGAGATCAACTTTTAATATTTTTGAGTAAAATCACCTTGCTTTCTCTTGACTTTCTGTCATGGAATGTTGGTGATACAAATAAAGAGTGCTGCTGGAGGATAATGCCGACCCTATCAAGCTACAAGACACTGATGTTACACATAGAAGAGATAGATGTGGGAGAGTCCGCACAATATATAACAACCATTACCTTAACTAACCGCCTTATTATGCATTAACTACTGTAACTTATATGACGAAATAATGATTAACTGTACGGTTTATAACCTGTCATTAGATTCTTTTCAAAATGAAATGATCTGAATTTCTAGTTATCATACCCAAATACTTCAGTCAAAATCTCTACCGCATTACACTAGCAACTTCGCACAGACAGTAAATATTGTTTAAATTACAGTCAACAGACTAACACATGTAATACCGACATACATCAGTAAGTTCACTATGTCTGCATCACGCTGTCATTTTGTTAATAATTAATTACCTGTTCACACAAATATACAAATATAAATATAGATATATATGTAGCATACACACATTATAGTTGTCTGTTTAGAACAGGAACTATTGGGACGAGAAATTGAATAATAATTCACTCTACTGTGAAAAGAGAGCGGAAAAGCTAACGAGTCATCCTGTATTTTACATGTCATGTTTACTTGCGTCTCGATCTACTTCAGTCGAATGTTGTTATCAATATCAAGTTTGCGAACACAAGAAAGTAATGCTTACCTTATACAGAGATATTCCTTTCACTATTATTTTGGACTTGGGATTTCTCAGAATATTCTGTTTATATCTAACATTCCCAATATAGCAACGCCACCACAGAGGATCATATTACTGGTATTAAATACACACGAGACCTATCCCTTCCACTGTCTGGGATCCGAACAATTGTCAACACGTGGGACCTTGCTTTGTAACTACAGGAGATTCCATCATATGTATACAAGGGACCTTATTTCACTTCATGTTGCAACAATCAACTTGAAACGATTAGACATATTATTGCAGTTTCGTAAATTATACAATACCAGGTTTATCTTTATTACTATAAAACACACCAGCTGCTAGAATTCCAATTATTTTTGTAATATTGCAACACTAATAAAACAGGAAGAATGTCACAGCAGATTCGCTACTAACGAACACAAAACAATAGAGAAGAGTGATTCATATAACACAAGAAACCATTTATAATCAATGTTACCAAAATATTACTCCGCATTTCGGGACCTTTCAGAATGTAACCTTTTGATTTATTTTAACTGACGTTAGGTTTAAAGGTCCCGTGATGTATGCTAGAGTTTTCTTACCCGAACATAAGGTTGTATTCGTTTGGCAGTAAAGCGATAATTTTACAATTTTCCCAGCAATATTTATCGTTAATAGCTGAAGCATTTAAGTGTCGAAAGGTCATATATTGTGCCTTGACGAAGCATCTCTTGTATTCGAGTGCTAAGGAATCATCTTGGAGTGCTTCCGGAATACAACGGAAACATGTCAGTGATGAATAATTCGTGTAAGTGTCCAAGTGTTTAGTTTTACGGAAAGCTGTGAAGTACATACACGCATTCAACAGTTAAGGAGGAAATCATTTTGGAGGTGATTAATCTTGATTATTCGTCCGGTATTCTGACACCCTGGTGACATAAACTTGAATTTATAACCGATAGAGTAGCCATGATTAATGGGATGCCTGTACCTACAAGCGCATTACAAGCATTAGGAAGAAGATGCATGATTCTCGTCCAACAAATTGAAGTTTATTCAATTGTTGATTTAGCATTTTACTTTTTTATCGATGATGCCTTTTGATAATTACGTTTAGTGTACTTTCGAAGAACTGATGAACGAAATGCTGTACAACGAATAGAGGACATGTGTTACATCTTTTCTGATCTGTTTGGAAAAGAGATAAATTGATGATTTAATCTGTAACAGTGATAATTAGTACCGACAAAGCTTTAATTTACTACTGGTGAAATTATTGTGTAATTAGTAAATCAATCAGACTAAACAAGTGATAAATTCAATTATCGCGATCAGACAGCCGATTGAATGAACTTGAATACAAACAGAATGTGATACAGATATATACCCCCATTGTTAAAGAACTGTTAAAGAAGTGTACCGTATGTGCATTGTACCAGGCAAAAGTACCAATGTACTACATTGTACACCAGTAAAACAGCCTAATGTTGTAGACTATCGTACATCAGCGGTTGACTCAATCTTTTTTATATTGAACGGTTCCTGAATGAACTGCCAGCATACCATTCGTAGGTATATTCAGTATTGGAGTGTGTACACGATGCGATCCTGATGTTTAGGAATGGACAATGGCTCTTACGTGTCTGTCATGTAATTTAGGCTGGATCATGTGGACGGTATTTTTTTTTTCAAGGATTAACGTCCTCCCAACAGCCAAATGGACAATGAGTAAGGGTGTCGAGAGGGCCACAAAGATAGGGAAGAGCACACTAGGAGGCTCCAAAATATTTTGCCTGCAAGTAAATATGTGCCTTTATTTGTTATATACACGGGTGAATGGCGCAATGATAGGTTTCACTTTGAATTGTTCAATAACAGCTTCAACAGGATTGAGGACGAGTCGTGTCGTGATGGCAATGAAAAACATTGTGAATGTATGTAAACAGTATAACAAGGTTTAAAATCACCTCGATATAAGTTCTAATCATTGATGATTTTCCATTGGAGCCAGCACTGAAGAGACGTGTTTGTCATTCCATACTGTCTCTATTGTTACCGAACTATCGAACAGGGGACTTGTTTCAGAAACAAAAGTATAAAAAGGCCCATGTGTATATCGCTGTAATAACATATGTTCATTTTTAGGTGATGACACATTCTTATCGGTAATTCTAATTCTTAGACCTGTTTTTTCCTCTTTGTTCCAAACTGATGCTACATGACGTTCGACAGATTCTACTCATTAAGAGGTCAAATGAACCATAAAAATCCTTTCAGCACCATTAGCTTCTGATAATAGGTTAGGTGGAACTTAATTTCACATGTCATTATATGGAAACTTCTGTCGCTGTCCGAAAAGCCATTATAAAAACAAACGACAATAAGTCTAAGATAGCTTGCTGGTTTCTGTTGGTAGGTGTGTTGTGTGGCCTTTAACGGATTCTGTGTGATCTGAAATTGTTTTAGGAAAATATCGAAAGACGGTAGGAAAATCAAAAGTAAAGATACACACGCACACTTATGTCAATATCCAACTTCTCACTGAGGCGATCCTCAGACATAAGGCAATAAGGTATACCAAAGGGTAAAAAGGCACGTGGTGCAGCAAATTCGGTTTATCGCTTCATGTGTCACCATTTAACTCCATTTTTAAAAACCATTCGTGAACTCAAATGTGAATCAATCTATAGAAACAACCAAAAACTAAGCCTATACAATTTATTACTTACCATAACCGATTTGTTGTTTTAAACTAGTTTTGACATATGTCTCTCAGAATTCTTGCTTTGTCGTTTTCTTTTGGACAGGTTTTGGTCATGATGTCCTACGCTGTACTGATGGCCCATTAAGAGTACAAAAACCTTCAATGCCTCACCAAGACACGGCCGAGTATAGCACAGTCCCTGGTTGTCATTCCGTCTTAATTTGAATATCAGTCACATTGGAATGTTATCAAATATGTTATTCCTTCTGATAAGATATAGGTCCAGCTCTTATTCAATGAGATCAGCTTGCTATTTCCAGTGATATGATTATTTAACTTAAAAGGTTTTAGAGATGTAGGACCAAATGTAAGGAAACTATTGAAACATGACCCTCTATTAGTTACAGAAATAATGTTCCTAAGTTTGTCCCTTGTATATTTATCTTGATCCTGGTTGATGAAATGTTCTCTCTTAAATGTACATGTACTGCTGTCTTGTAGCACTCTTAAGTCGACATCTGTTCCACACTGTCAGAGGAACTTTTAGAAATGTATCGAAGCCTCCCAAAAACATATGTCTAAAACACGCACTCCCCTCTACTACTGAAGACGTAAAACAATATAAAACCAAAGTGAACACATGCCACGATGCGCAGAACCGTTGTCCCTCCGTCGTTTTATTTCCCCTTTAAACAACTTCTCAATAACCGAACGGCACAAGGTCACGATATTTATTGGCCCAGGATAGCTGGAAATGAAGCCTGCTATATTTTTGTTCAATTGTCTAGAAATTTGAGGCTGTGCTATGAGAAATGTTCTTGTAAACCTCCTTGTGATAATGTCGATTTAAACCCGATTTGATAGTGCACCCGTACCAAAGTTTACTGCCGACGACCTCTGCGGATCACCCCTTCCACCCCGTTCATATTATACTGACAACGAACGAACCAGTATTTTACTACGTTTTACTACAACAATGCTAAGCGTTAAGCAGGAGATAGTAACTATATATTGACCAGGGGACATAATCCAAAGTTTTCCGTACTGGGTCGAAGCTTAACTAAAGGCTAAAAGTGCGTCAGTGTCAATGGATGTGGAAAATAGATGCAAAGGGAGCAGAACGACAAGATGAAGACGATGGACTAGTTGTCAGCAACTCCACTACAATAAAGGATGTCATTGAGAGATTAAAAAGTTGTCAGCACGGCAACATAGTGATAAATTACCGGAAGTCAGGTACGACTCGGTCCTTCAATATGTAAAATCTTGATATAAAATCTTTAGTTAAGTATTTTAGAAACGGAATATGTCATATTTTAATTTGTACATTTAAATATGACAAGGTATTTTGTTATATTTATTTATGCAGAAGACCACTTATGATATACAAAATTAGGCATTAATCATTATCATTTAAAGTAGTAAAGTTGAACAGATAAAAAATCGAGCTATTCTTGATTGTTTCCAGCTGAACATATATGAAAACTCTTCATAACATTGTAAACTTCTTTGCATCAGTAATCAACTATATTTACAACTAGACGAAAGCAAAAAATGCATCAATTTTAGTTTATGGGTGTTCATACTCCAGTTTGTATCATTTGTTTTGTGTTATCGGTTGTTTTACTCTCATAGTGTTTGTTCTAATGCAAAGTTCTTTTGAACTTCTCAGATATAAGAAAATTGAAAAAAAAACAAAAACTATTCGGCTATTCGGACCTCCCTATTTAGATTTTGACATTTTTCCGGTCAGTTGTGACTTTCCTCCGTGACCTCCTAGGTTCCAAACTTGGTACCTCAGCATCTTTGACAAGTCCTAGAAGCATAAAACGGTTGTATGATTTAGTTAAAGTTACTTATCTCTACTGTGAAACGTGCTATTAACCTTTGTTTATTTTGTGCGGCCTTGATAAGTGCAATCCCTCTTTGACAGTGGTTATACCATACATATTCCCAGAATATAAACAACATATCTTCCATCTCAAAGGACAACTCTTAGAAGCAAATTATCGAAATGAAATGATGAAATATAAAAACGTTTCATCTGATTCATTTAGAAATGAAAACGAGCTAATTTGTTTATTGTAACTTGTGATCTGATATACATCACAGTGGAAAACCTATTGCTAGTTAGTAATTTCGATGGATTTAACCACCATGCAAGCGCCGTCTATTTACCAAACATTCGTGGCACGTTGAAAGGGAGTGAACTTCAATATATACAGAAGAAATAGAAAATTGTAGAAATGCTTGAGAATCAAGTAAGAGATCGTCGATGAAGCAGTAGAATCGTATTTAGATATACTTCCGTTCGGAAGTTGTACTTTAACAGATAACAGATATTTTTCACACAAGATATTTGCTATCATGTAATTACTTTTTAATTCTTTTT